TTTATATCTTGTTTTATGTTTTCCTACATGACCAAACTGCCTAAATAAACATGGTTCTGAAACTAAAACACTCTGAAGGAGAATTGAGGTTTGGCCATAACATAATATCCCAATACTAGATCAGCCAGACCTTCCATGACTTCTCTGAAATAACGAGTACATAACTATAGTAGCACCAGAGCACTTCAGCCCTAAACTATAACCCAGCACACACTATACAAAGAGAAAGGAAAACATCCCTTAAATTGACAATACACAAAGCTTTAGGAACTCACTTCAGAAGCGTGTGGATGGCACTATCTATAAAAAACCTACAGTTTGCATATGCAGTACTCCAAAAATACAAGGCTTTGTCTCTACAAAAAACAAATTGCTTTGCCGCCTTGGCTTAGAAACAGATTCACAAACATGAAAGAATTTCAGCAGTGAGACGTGCTAGATGCACAGCTCCAGAGCTAGTGCTCACCACAGATAGAGGAAGGCACAGTTTCTCACATGCCCTTCAAAGCACTTATGGTACCACCACCACAACTACATGGAAATACCTTGGGCATACAGCATTTTTCATCTCTGTGATACTTCCACATTCGCCCCTGATGTTGAACTGGCCAAGTCTTACCTCAACACCTCAGTTTAGACAGTCTGACACTGATGTGAACAGGCTGCCCAGAGAAGCTGTGGATGTTCTGTCCGTGGAGGTGTTCAAGGCCAGGTTGGATGGGACCCTGGGCAGCCTGGTCTAGTATTAAATGGGGAGGTTGGTGGCCCTGTGTGTGGCAGGGGGGTTGGAGATTCATGATCCTTGAGGTCCCTTCCAACCCGGGCCAATCTGTGATTTGAAACGCGTCTGTAATCATATCAACTAAATTCCAGTGATGCATTAGTAACGAGACTTGCTCTTTCTTCAAGTAAATACTGAAGTTGCTGTGCTTTGAGAATCAATACGTCTTCATATTCGCCTAAGCTGAAGTTCAGATCTGTGTAACAAATTAATTCTGCAGCAACAACTACAGCCAAATACTTAAAGTTTAGCCACTTACAACCTAACCAGCTTCCTCAGCAAAGTTCTCCTAAGTGGCCACCCAACTTACTGCTGCCCTGCTGTTACACATCACCCTCCAGCAGACTTTCTGAAAAGTTACAGAACTGGAACTCAGATATCCACACCTGATCCCTTTGGTAGAAAACTGAAACACAGCTTTTCATAGTTGAACTTCCCATGTCTTATTCCCCTGTCTCACATTTTGAGCTGTTTAAATGGGAACGCAGGACTTCTGCTGAAGCAGCCCTTCAAGAAGAGGTGGGTTTCTTCTTAATCAATTCATGCAAACAAACACAACTACACCAAAACAAAAAGACTCTCCTGCTTCTCAGTCACAACACAACCACTAGCTGAAGCAAACACAACACCAAGGCAATGCCTTCCATCCACATCAGCAAAAGCAAAGTAGTTCTATGATGACCAAAACTAAGGAGTTCTACTTCAAGGTGCAAGCCACAACAAAATCTTCCAAGGGAATGGGAAAGGGACAAATATTCTTCTAACAGTACATGAACTCACACAGCAAATTTTTCTTCACTTATAAACGTAGATGCTTTCTACTCTATAAAGCCTTCTATTAATAAATCAAAGACAAAAGTCTCAAAAGGTTTTTAGCTGAGACCAGCAGCACAGACTGCACGACCTTCTGAAGTTTAAAAGAAAAACTTGCAAGAGAAAATAAAAGAGATTTTCTTTTCCCTCTTTCCCAGTGGAGGTAAAAAGGATAAAAAAGAAAGAAAGAAAGAAAGCTGCTGAAAAAAGCAAGCACACATTTTTCAGACACTTGTTTTCCTTGATTTTTTTTTTATTTTTTTTTTTAATTCCAGCTGCAGGCTCCTGTATATTGACACTCAATGGTAATAAGGCCTTTCTCGTCAATTATCTCCAAAACGTAGAGCACAAAACTCCAGGGGCTCTGCTGACTACAGAACTCACTACAGTTTTTAGTCTACTGAAACAGCCTGACTTGGAAAAAAGAGCGATTCCTGCAGACACCAATAACAATTGTCAGAGAAATGCAAACAGAACAATAAAATAGGCTTCCAAAGCTACTGCTGTTGCTGTAAACTGAATGAAGCAGAAAGGCTCGTGCTCCCCAACCAACGCTGCTGTAACGCTCAAATTCTGATCGAGGAATTGTAACTCCTTTCAGGTCCTTCAAAATGGACCAAACCCGTGTTCTGTTCCCTTCGTACCGCAGGGGCACAATGAACGCATAGCACTGAGAATTGTCCAGACCCACTTTTTTAAAACCCCACCATTCTACGGGCTGCAGAGTCCTCAACACATCCCTCATGAACTTCTGATAACTCATAGATATTCAGATGACAAACTATTCTAATTGGTACATTCTGAATAGGAAAGATCATCTCAGAAAACTACTCAAAAGACAGAGACTACATACTAGAATTGCTTCTACTATTTTCAGTGATTGCTTTACAATATTATATTAAGCATCCATGACAGCTTCTATAGTTATGAACAGCTGCAGGTATTAGAGAATATCCCATAACCTATTTCCATACCATTAAGATACATTAGCATTTACACGACCTGACAGCGCACAGCAGAGAGTAATGCACGAAGGCCAAAAAAAGGTGAGGACTTTCCCCAAGCAGAGATCCTGAGAAGGCCGCATCCCGCAGCGCTGCCGGTCCAGGACAAAGCTCACATGCCTCACAGTTCAACCACTCTGAGCTATGGTCAGTACCACTGGAACTATGTATCTGATGGTTTGGTCAACTGAGCGACAAACCTGGGAATCCTATCAGTAACATTGTGTTTGGGAACTGTACTCCTGAAGTTTGCCAATCAACAGGTACAGTCAGCATGTTCTGGCTACATGAGGGCTCCACTAAGCCCAGGGCGGCTCTGAATAACAAAAGCAGGTTCAGCCACCAGGCTGCACCAGGCCAAAGACACAGAGTGTTCTCCTACTCAGCTACATGCTACCAACGTGAGAGTAGATTCCATTAAGTTCATTAATCCTACACAGGAAGAAAGCACGTTATCTCATATAGGAACTGGGTGATACATCACCTATAAACTTTTTAAGACCAAAATTTGAGTGTTCTTTTCAATAGGCTCACCTTAATTGAAAAGAAAACACCTTTTAATTTCCAAGAGAAAAATCGATGCACTGTAGGATTATTTAAAATATCTTCTAGCCAAAGGGGGGGGAGAATTTGATCTATACTATGAGACTGCAATGAAGACAAATGTGTTTCCTCCATTTGGATTCAGCCGTGCAGATATAAGGCCACAAAGAAACGTTAAACGATCCATCTTGTGGATCTATAAAGTTGACCTGCCAATCACAATCGATGCATACAGAAAATCTGGAAGTAAATTCTTTTATTATCGTCATCGTTTGCTGCTTCAACATCCAATGCAAAAAGCACTAGAGGACCTACCAGGAGGAGATGAAGAACGCGCACCGCCACCGAGAGATTTTTTCATTTAACCTCGCAGAAGGAGCATTACATCACACTCCTACAATGCAGGGGGAGGTGCCTGTGCACAGCGAGCTTCAGCTATTTCCCTTTAATTTTCTGCTCGCTTCTGGAGGGAGATGCAAAAATAACTTGCCTTTAAATTGCTAGTACGAGAGCGGGCGGGGGGAAGGCGAGAAAACGCCGCTTTCCCCCTGTATTTACCAACAGAACGAGGAACGCTTACACTCCGAAGAGCGGGAGACACCGCCAGCGCGCCCGCCCCGCTCCGAGCCCGCGGAGGGCCCTGGGGCCGCCGGGCAGCAGCGCCGCTCCGCTCAGCGCCGCGCTTCGCCCGTCGCGGGGGAGGGGAGGGGAGGAGAGGGAACGGACGGGAGGGCGGCGCGGGGCCGCGCCGAGCCCCGCCAGGACAGCGCACGCCGCGCCGCGTCTCCCCGCGTCCCCTCCCGACGAGGGCCGGCGTGCGGCGAGCGTTTCCCCATCCGTCCCCGCCGGAGCCGGCGGCAGGAAGAATGCAAACCCGACTCCGTGTATGCAAATTTTTGCAGCAGATTGAAGAGCTCGGGGTGCTGCGGGGAAGAAACGGCTGTTTCGGGAGCCTCCATTTAAATAGAACGAGATTTTCTGTACGATCTGGTAGCCGGGCGGCTCGGGGAAGGCGGAGGAGCCGCAGCCATCCGCCCAGGTGCTTTACGTGACGAATCGCCCCCAAAGCCGCACTCGCACAGAGCCATCTTTCCGAAGCGCTCCGCAGGCGCTGCCGGAGCCCCGCACCGCGCCGAGACACCCGCGGAGCAGCGCCGGGCACGGCCGGGCCGGGCTCTTTAAAACCGACGAATGGGTAATTATAAAAAAAATTTTAAAAAAATTAAAAAAAAATCATCGTAGTAATAAAATATAAGGGCGCCACTAACCTCATAAAGTGCAGCAGTGCTTAAATCCAGCGAGTTGAGGCATACAAGGTAGAAATGGAAATGAAAAAAAAAAAAAAAAATCCCGAAACGATTTCGCGTTTTGTTTTTTTTTCAATTTCAAATGTTCAGAAGCCAGCAGAGACTCCGTCGGCCATTTTGGCGTGAGCTCCCTCCCTCGCTCGCTCTCCCGCTCCCTCCCTCGCTCTCCCTCTCTCTAAAGGAAGCAGCTTTTTGTGACCTTCAAATAGAGCCCGGTCACGTGACGCCGCCGACCTGTCAATCACGCGGCAGGGCCCGACCCCGCGCCGCCTTAAAGGGGCCGCGCAGAGAGCGCGCCCGACAGCTGAATCGGCCCCGCGCTGGAAACGCGAGCGGGGAGACGCTGAGGGCGGCTCGGGAGGCGCTCCGACGCTGCTGCCTTCTGAAAAACTGCATCAAGCGCTGCAGCTGCACGTGCTACGTATGTGTGGGCACGCTGCGGACGGGAGCACGCATATGCTACGGGTAATTTCACTTCCCCCCGAAACCAAATTGTGCTACTTGGACGTAGAAGTTCTCCCAGGCTCATCGTGGTACGGCAGCTCCCTGTTCTCAAGGCGTGGAAGCTCTCCATTCAGGAGCTGACAGTGCCGGGAAGCCTTCAAGCAGCCAGCGCTCAGCCCACTTGCTGCTATCAGGTGTAAGTACATACGCTGCTCTGAAAGTAATGCCTCCTATTTACGTCCTTGAAAATTAGAACAAATACAAAGAGCACAACAACCCTGCTTCATAGAGAAAATTTTCAGCTATTCATTATTTCTCAACATACCACCGATTAGCTGTGCATTTTCACCAGCAACGAACAAGAGCCTGCATACCACACTCTTAAACCTGCACCAGCAGAGCTGACCCACTGTTTCACAGCTGCTATGACAGTCATTACTAGAAAACGTTTCCCCATGCAGACCCCCTTTACCTCAGCCTGAACAAACTGAAGGCAGCAGGCTCCAAATTAGGACTGTGCTGTGGGTGTGGTAGGGGAGTCAGGCCAAGACTAAGGGTGTGCTTCACACTCAGAGCAAGAGAAGGGTTGTCAGGTGGTCGTCTTCTCTGGCCTGAGTCTACGAGTTCAAGCCTTGAACACATTGAAGCCAATATTCAGCTCTGTACACAGTTCTCTGGTGATAATCCACTGACTCGCACAAATGAGCTGATTGAGAGGCTCTTCATTTCATGGTGTAACAGCTTTTCAAGGGTACCACATGGCTTGTCTTTCACATGGCTGCCACCACCGCTGACGCTCACTCTGCTCACATGCACTGTTTGGTCTCCATCAACATTCAGCAAATGTCAGTGAATATCGGTAGGTGCCATTTTTTCCACGTGGTGGAAGGCAGTGACACACCTTTGCTCCATATGCACTTCCATGCCCTCTGCTGCCCTCTGTCACACAGCAAGAAAAGGTAATGGAATATTGGTGGGAAGCTTCAACCCCTACTGTCGTACCACCAACATCCATCTCTGATGTCACAGGCCAACAAAATAAAATAGGAGGTATTACTTTTGGAGCAGCCGTTCTCCTTCATTGCTCTGAAGTTTGTTGTTCAGTAGAGAGAGCTTTTAAAAACAGAAAACTTTTTGAGGGGAAGAAGCAAGCAATCGGGAAACAAAAACTATTTTCAAGAGCATTTTGCAGGGAGGGTAAAACTGCCCAATTTACCATTCTGTCAAAAATGAACAGGCTCGGCTCTGGGCCTGTTTTACCTTGCCTCGTTTGTCTTCATGAAGAGTTGGGGGCTCCACTGACGAGGTGAAAACCAGCCATGATGTGTTTCCATAGGAAACAACTTCCAAATTTCCTTTTAATATAAAAATTCAACCAAGCCAACAACTTCTACACGCATCACTCTGCATCTGTTCCCATTGGCTTACTGGTTAAGTCTTGTCTACCCACAGCACAGAAGAGAAGGTGTTTCTTTTTTGTTTGTTTCTAAAACGCAGTGTTCCTCAAACCAAAATTGTGCTAGGAGAAGCAGCAGTATGACAGTTCAGAAAGTTGACTACAGCAAAAATAAATAAAAAATAATTTAAAAAAGGATATGCGAGACCTGCACATCCCTTTTCAGATGGCAACTGCACTTGAAAACCTAACCATTAAACTTTCTGATGTCAACAGCTCTGTTAATAGCTAATGTTAAAAAGTTATATCCTTGTTATATACTAACTTATCTGATCACAGACACTTCATTTCTAAGCACCTTCTATCATCATAAAGCATCTTAAAAACTAGAATGAAGCTTCAAAGTGCTCCTGTGAGCACAGCACCCATGTTGAGCAGATGCGTGCTGAATGCTTACAGCCAGGGATTCTCTGTGCTCTTACAGCCGAGGCAGGAGGAGAGTGGTTTTTTAATTCACATCAAACTGCATTTTGGTTCTAGATACAGACAAACCTTTTAGGTGATCTTTGGGTACCAAACCAGTAAATTAAATCTCAACTTGATGTGTACAGGGATGCTCCACTGTCCAGCAGATGAACTGGGATACCACCTATACTCTCTAGTGGTCACCTCAAGGAGGGCAGGTCCTGGTTGATCTGCAGATCTTCATGCTGTTTTAAAAGGATTCAGGATCATTCTGCTCTTATGCAAACCTTCCTGTCTGCAGGGCTGCCATTTTGTTTTTGCTTGAAGTCCTACAGGTTGATGCGACCTTGCTTATTCTGAAGGCTGCATCCTTACCATCCTACAACACTCATCCCATTGGGACTGCTTGTGTTGCCCATACTACCCATGGTGACAAACTTAAAACTTATTTATTCCCCTACTTAGTTCTTCATAGCTGATGTAATGGAAGTGAAAACATCAAGTCAGCTGAGGGCATAATATTTGAGGTTTCTGCTGAGGAATTAACAAGTTTCTCATAGCACAAATGCCTTCTCACCAACTTTCCTCTTTTCTGTTAGTGAACAATTTGTTTCCTAGAGTATCAGAGGCAAATTCCAAAGTGAACTGAGGGCCTGCAGGCCCCCCATCCTACTGCATGCAGCTCATCAGCTCGATTTCCCCAGATCAACCCCAGAAAGTAGGTGTTGTAGCAGAGGCAGGAAGAACGGTCACCAAGGATCAACTGACCTGGATTACTGTGCTTACAAGCACCAACTGCAGCTTGTTCAACTCCTCAAGTTAACGGGATTTACAAAGGTCACGCTGTCTTTCCTAAGTAGTTAAAAGCATTGCAACTTTGAGGGTAGGGATATATATGCATGTAGTTGCAGTATGTCTAGTAATAAAAAAAAAGCAAGCAGTAAACCACTTAATTTAAGAAACAGAATTACAACTCTTAACTATTCCTTGTGTGCTCTAACATTATTTATTTCAAGAGAACAAGTGAAAACATTAGGTTAAAAATCAGGATTCCAAAGCATTTTGCTTACTAAATTTGGTAGATGTCAGTGTCAAGTTCCTAGTTGCTCTTCCCTGTATGTCGAATAGTTCAGATCACTTTTTAATTATTTTCTCCAAACAGAGGTACCAAATACCTACCAGTTTTCAAAGCAAAGACAATAGCTAAATCTGGCTGTATCAACTATCAACTTTTTTTTTTTTTCTTTTTGAAGTCTTCAAAGCAATTGCACACAAGCCATTGTTCAAGAGATGGCCTCCCCTCTGTAGGAGTTCAGACTTTGAAGTGTCTGAGCATTCTTCAAGGACAAAATACTCATTCCTAAGGAAAACTATATATTCTTCTCCTCCTCCAGCTTCAGGGAGCAGTGAGATATTGGATGCTGCAGAATTGTGAAAATAGAGTTGGCAGGTGTTTTACTTCTGTTTTTTGTTTTTTTTTGTTTTTTTAATAAACAATAGTAGCCAAAGTATAATGCAGCTTCTTTTTATGTAGAAAAATACCATGACTAAAAGTGACCAATGCAGGAAAAGCTTGCACAGTTTCTGAAAAGTTTACAACTGCTTGTTGCATCCCATACACAAAGGCACTTAACAACACATTTAGGAACACAGTATCCAACTTTAGTATGCAGAGTTTACATTGCAGCAGTGGTTTGGAACCACAGTAAAAGTGAAATCTCTTTTCTTGGCAGGGACAAAAGAAGAGTGAAAGACCCAGAAAGTTCACAGCACGTTACATCTAAGAACTATTCATTACTTCAAGGCCAAGACAAAGTTTTGAATCTATACATCAATGAAGTGTTCACAGAAGGATAACTTACAAGGAAAACTTCATTCAGAAAATTTTGCAAACACCCACTTTTTCACCTAATTTTTCCTTAATCTGCCACGATACTTTCCCTTGCTGTTCAGCCTATGAATAATCCATCACTATGCCTCCACTTGTTCAATCTCCTCAAATGCCCTTTCCGAAGTGGAGAAGCATAAAGCCTTCTATCATCCTTTTAACAAAGTTGTTCCGTGAACAATGGAAGTAAAAACTCATTTCCTACCAGTCTCTGTCACACATGGCTGAATCTCCACCATGCTAATCCCAGCTTCCTGCATGTTCACTTCTCCTTTGATGCCAAGACCCCTCCAGTACACGAGTCTATGCAGACTCTTCCCATAATTGTCTTGCACCTCCTGCAGCACCCCAACCCAGGCAAAAGATAGCATCTGCTGTACTTAATCTCAAAACACATATGATGATGATGATGATCTATCAACAGACACAGCCAGAAAATATAATCTTTTGCTTTGTTCTGAAGCCCTCCTTTTAGTAGGAAATTAATTTCCATCTCTTTTCTAGGCAGTCACTGATGTTTAACTTACTGGTAATAGTAGATATCAAATTATTGTCATTTCTTTCTCCTCCTGTTCCCTTGAGCAAAACTAAACAAGAGACTCCAAACTTATGTGGAAAGTTACATACACAGAAAGCAAACTGCAAATCACATGAGACTTAATGACAGGAAACAAAACAAGCTCTCAAAATCTTCACTCAAATCTCTTCCAAATGCCAACTGAGTTTTTTTGGAGGAATCATTTACACATATATCCTTGCTAATTATGAGAGTACTTTCCACTAACACAAAGTGCAAGGAAACCTGCACAGATGAGCATTCTGAGACTTCAGCAATTCATTAACCTCCTCCTGTACTTTCATGTTGGCAGCTCCTCAATTTTGGAGATTGTAATCCTCTAATGCGTTTCCACCCTCAGTTTCTGAAATCATACAAATTGTCAAGATATCTGTGAAATATTAAAAGTTTATCACTTTTATCCAATTCTGTCTATTCTAGTGAAAAGATGATACTTTTTTTTTTTTTCTCTCCAGTATGAACAGATGTTCAGGGAAATCGTATAGACTACCACTATGCCCATATACACAGCAAGCTGTTGCTTTCTAATTGTTGTTTACAACATGGGAATTACCATGCCTGTTAGAGGATTGATTCAAACTGACCTTCCATCAACAATAGCTGTTACTGTGCACCTCAAAAGCAGCAATAAACTCACTGGTTAAATGCTTCTCTCCCCTCTTTTTAAGGCTAGGAGCTTTAAATGTTACAGCAGCAAGCATTAAGGTTAGAATATTTAAAGAAGAATCTACCTTTCACGTCTATAAACACATCACCACAACAGGACCTCCTCCTTGTATGGATCCTTTACACATACCTCTACTGAAATTCAATACCTCCTATTCACTTCAGTCTAGTCTATCTGTGCAGAGCAGATTTCTCACAAATGTTTAAGGGATGTCTCACAAAAGATTCCTGGAATGAAAGCATTAGTCTTACTCCAGATCTTCTGCCCCTTTTTTTCCTTCTATACCTATAAGGAAGGTGTGCTACACTTTAAGTTTTGTAGATACTTTTTTTTTTTTTTTTTTTACATATGGTGAGACAGATCAGTACTTCTCCACGAATTGTTCTGACTTGTTTTGAGTTTTTGTGTGGGGAGTTCAGTCACTGGCCCGGAAACCTCTGAGCAAAGGAATTTCTGGCATCTTGGTTCGAACTGGCACCAACCCATTTTCCTTTGTTCGCATTAAAGGAACCACAATACGATAAGAAAAGAGTATATATTTTTTAAAATATTCATAATAATTCAAAACAAATGCATACTCAGGGGATTACTATAGGAAAAGCTTCCCTCAAACTGATTCATTTTTCTAGTGAAAAGAATTATTTATTTCAGTAAAAATCTGTAAACTGATCTTTCCAAGCAAGCTGAATACCTTTCCTGCCTTCGCGTACAGCCCTCTGGTTTGAAATGTCAGAAGTAACAGCTAGCTACCTCTGAAGAAAATTCTACAAGCTTTACTGCTGTCAAATACTCAGATGCATGCACCAACGCAAACTAGTACGAGACCTAAACATGACTACACTGATTAAGTGCAAAGAGTTCAGCAAATCTATCAAGGTAGGAGCAAGAGAAATCATACCAGGTCAGCAGATCACAGCACGACAGAGGTGTGATGCGATTGAAGAGTTCCAAAATACCTCTGTAAACAAGTTTTCAGTTCACATCATCTTGACCACAGGGAGCAGTACTTTTAGTTGTACAGTGAGCCCTATCTTCTACATCTACTTTACTTCTATGAGGAGCACTGTATTTTACAATAGTGGATGGTCACTTCCTGAAGGGTCTAGGTAGGTTCAGCAACTTGCAACCAAGTTCATGCAAAGATTGTTTATATCTTTTTATCCTACTTATCATCTATGGCATCTATAATGTACAGTGGTCAGTCAGTAAAATTTCTATTTGCTGAACACGGGAAACAAGACGAGAATACAAAACTCTAATGTAACAAAGACCCTTTAGCCTTTTTTTCTTTTTTTTTCCTTTCTCTCCATATGCTCAAAATGAATATTCAGTCATTCATCTGGGTGTACATACAAAGAATACAGAAGATCCAATCATCCAGTGTGAAAGTACATTTTAGGACTGTAACTCACAAACATGCCAATGGCTTGCTCTAGGAGGCCAGGGTGTGAACTCTTATTGAAACTGAGTGGCACCAGCTTGGTGTAGCTACTACATCTTTTTTCTCAACTATACAATTATACTGGTAATAAACAGCTATTATACCAGTGATACAGAGAATATAGAGACAGAGTTCAGAATTATTCTTCACACTTAAAGAACAGCAAGGAAAATTATTTAAGTCTATTACTATTATTTGAGTATTCAGCATTTGTAGCAGGTTACACACTACATTTTAAAGAATGAATACAAAATTATTCCAACTTTTATTTTATGAACATAAAATTCTTTTCCTACTGAAAAGAATAATAATTATTATTTTTCTTACACCAAGACCATTTCCAATAAGCTGTCATTAATAAAATTAAATGCAATCATGTGAGGTCATGTTCACACTACATCTTTACTGCTGATTTGAAAACATCAAGCCAAGCAACTTGCCTGATCACTAATTTTTTTTTAGCTAAAACCAGTACTTGTTTACATTCTAAGCCACTTTTTCCTCAGCAATAAATGCCTCCACAAGCAGAAAGACTTTTGCCTTATTACTTTCACGTAGTTAGGGAACTGAAAAGCAGAATTCCTTTCCCCCCCCTCTCCCCCCCCCCCCCTTCTATTTTACAAACAATTTAGAAGACAGTATCTTCTTTTTCATAAGGTGTTAAAATACATAACCAGAAATAATACATTCAATTTACCAATGGAAAATACCAGTTTTGTTTAATGAACTTCTATGCATGCATTCCAGGGATTTCCTTGTCTAAACACTTTCAGGATACTACAAAATGTTTTATTTTTATTACTCTTTATGACAGTTACACTAAGAGGAACAGTAGTAAGGAGAATGAGCAGGAAATCAAAATTGTCCTCAAGTTTCTTTAAACAATTTTTCCTGCCCATCTCAAGCAAGCTACTTTATAATAAATGGTCTTCCATGTAAAGGTAGGAGAGAAATCACAAATGGAGTATTTAGCAATTATTTTTGGATCTGTTTTTCCATGTAACATTTAACACAGACATCATACACTTTAAGTTTGTACATCACAAGCAGTTGTCTGAGAAGAGCAGTACAAGAATAAGAAAAAAAAGCCAAATCTACTGAGACATGTTTTAGCGGAAGATTGAAACAAAGAAGGATCACAGATCAGCCCTGGAAGCAACTTATCTCACTCTTGTGTAAGATGCCACTCATCAGTTCCTATCTCAGAGCAATGTACAGCTGAAAAGAGAGCAATTTCCAGCCATCCATATAAATGATGCATCAGAAGGCAGTTACCTCGGGCAGCTTCTGAGAAGTGTCTGCTTAGGAGAGGGAGGGGCAACAGCCACTGCAACCAAACCAGAAAGACTGCCTGAACAATGAACTTCATGTTAATGGAGCATCTGGTACGTAGTCCTTAGAAAGGACCAGAGAACAGGAGGTGGAGGTGATGTTTGAATAAAGAAGCTCTGGGATTTTAGGAATTTGGTCAGTACTTAAATGCTCTCTGCTTCAAAGTACAATCAGCTGTTTAAGATGGTGGTAAATCAGAATACAACTCCCCTCCTTTTTGCTAGGAATCACAACTAGAACTGAATGATTAGAGGAATCAATAGTGTTGTCGGTGTCAGTGTGATATCGACTGGGAAATCTGCGATACCATACTTAAAAATCAGAAAATTGGAACAGAAATACTTTTTTTCTTGTTTTGGAAAGACTACACATGCAGCCTCGTCTGACCAAGAGGCTTTTTGTAAGTTCAGAAGCAGGTTTTGTGCGCTTCCTACGCAGGGCAAATACAGATCTTGGAAAAAACAACAAACTAAGCTGTTCTTACCAGAAGACATCTGGAAGAAAGCACTATGAAATCTCAGGAAAAGCAGCATCATTCTGTTCAAATGTAGAATGCATACCGTCCACAAATCTTTTCCTCTCAGTGTCAGCAGCAGTGCAGAATAAACACATGTGAATAGTAAGTGGAAACTTTACCTTTGGATTTAACATTTTTCTGTCCAGATCTCAATTGATTCTTGTTCCTCAGTCATGTAGCTTCCAATTTTCTACATCTTTAGAAAATGCTTTGCAGAATGACACTACGCTAATGGTGGAGGCTATAGATGAGGTACATGGAAAGCTGGTATCTCTTCATGACAAAGTAAGACATGCCATTCTAAATGTTCTGCTACCTCCTCGTACAAGATTTGAAAGAAAAATGAGTGAGTAGGTGAAACAAGGTATCTTAAAAACATTAAATGATAACTGAAAACATTTTCAACATTTTTAAGACTAGCTTGCAGAAGTAAATACTTAATTTAAATTATTTTTGCACAGAATATTCAGACAAGAGTTTTCTTGGGGATACCTCTAATTTTAGGTACAAAAAGATGGAAAAAATAATCAGAACATTAAACTAATAAAATGTGGAACAGAATTGATGAATCCCTTGGCACTTAAAATACTCAAGTATAAATTCTGCATACTTTTTCTTGTCACATTGTTTAGAAGTACTCTATCTTAAGCAGCGCAAGCCAGCTTTTTCGACATTATTGACTTGCCAGTCTTACAACTAAAACACAGCTGCTCTACAGCTCCAGAATTTGCTGCTGTCTCATCCACGCTGCCCACTCAATTGCACAACAAAGGGCAGTGTTTTTCCGTGCCTCAGGCTCTCCCCCCTACACACACAGGTAGAGATGCAAACTTGTCCTGCCACTCCATCGCAAGAAGTGAAGAAGGACTTCTACAATGTGAAGCTGATGAAAGTATTCCTGAATTTCTATTGAAACAGCTATATTCAGTTTTCACCTTGAGCTTTTGTCCCATGGTCTTCTGCCCTCCCATATCCTTTCAATTTCCTAATGAAGTAAAATAAGCAATAAAAAAGTCAAAGGCAGAAGTCTCCTACTCAGATGCCAATACAAGAGCTAGTCTGAATTATTACTAGAACTGAAGCATGTTGAGAGAACTGCA